CGGCGTGGCCATCCCCCCTGGGGGGTGATTTCTCGCTTTCTGTCTCTCTGTCTCTCTCTGTCTGTCTGGTGAGCGCACGCTCCCTATAGCAAAAACCTCTCAAAAAAAAAAAAAAGCAATCCCTCATCCATTCCACTTTGATCATAGGTGGCAGCAATTCAGCCCCACCTTCAGGCTCCATTTCCACCACATCTGCGGTCACCAGCTCCACTTAAGTTGTCAACCCTCAAAGCCAGCCCAGGAGGGTTGGGATTGAGTTCTTCCAACCCCTGCTAATGTTGCTATTTTCACCCCCTCCTGCGAATCACCAATGTTCTGATGGCATCTAGAATAGTGAGCCCTTTCCAGAAGGTTTTTCAATGTACTTTGCCCAGACCCATCAGAGAAATCACTATCTATGGCAGCTACGGCCAAAAGACAAAGCATTTTTGAAGTAATAAGACTTGAAAGTCTAAATGACTCCCTGATCCATGGACGGCAGAATGGGGGTTGCAGGCATGAACAGAACACAAATCTCCTTATATATCTCCATCAGAGCTTGTGGCTAACCAGATGCACCGTTACTGAGCACTAATAGTTTAAAAGTAATTATTTTTTCCTGAGCAGTAGGTCTCAACTGTGGGGTTTTAAAAAATCCAGGAAACAATGCTATAAACAGATGTGCTATCATCTAGGCTTTGCTGTTCCATTTATACAACACAGGAAGAGAGGTTTAGCACAATTGTTAGAGGATTTTCAGAATGGTAAATGAATACTGGCTTCAACTAAAATTACCAGCTGTACTAGCCCCTAACAAGAGTCAGTCTGTCTTTAGAAGCTTCGAAGACAAGCCTTGACTTCTCTCTAGCTACGGAAGTCCTGGGTGGCCTCTTCCTCTCATAAAAAGTGAACTCGAAACTGTCGTTTAGTTAACCTCCTTCATTGATGATCTCAGCTAGTTCTGGATAATTTGCTGCAGCCTCTACACCGGTGCTGGCTGCTTTAATTTGCACTTTTCTTTGTCTTCTGTCTTTAAACCTCACGAGCCAGCCTCTGCTCG